GCTACACTCCCAGGTGCAACATAAGGGCCATGTGCAGCCGGGGAAGGATGAGGCGAAGCAAGTGGTGTAGCGGCGCCAGAATGACTACCACGGTGCATTCCCGAAGAACTATGTGACGGGGAAGGAGCTGGAGACAACGATGGGCTTGCCAACTGACTGACCGAACCGCTCTGGTTGTTTTGATACATGTGCGTGGCAGGTGGATGGAATGAATTCGTCCCGGTTATGCTATGTGTGGTAATCGGTGAACGCATTGGAACCGGTGAAATGGCTGACGGATGATTGTTCTGTGGTGAGGGGCTTTGTTGAAGCTTCAGTGGTTGTCCGCCCGGTGATACGAGCACATTCGTGGATGGAGGAACGCACGTAGTGACAATCGTATGTGTGGTGACAGGCACAGGAGCAGAAGTGACTGAGCAGGACGAAGGTGGCCAAATCGGTGGAGGCGGCGGTAAATTTGGATTCATATTTTGCATGGTGGGTTGATGACGCGAAGGTGGTCGGGAACTGCTTGGCGAAGCCATGCACGCGTTAACCGGTGAAGCTGAGCCCATGGTTGCTGGTAGTGAATGGGATGTTTGTAACTGATGTTGGAAACTGGGGGAAGCGGAATCAGAACCACGAGACGGTGGGCCTGGGGCTGGACTGCTGGCATTCGAAATGCACGGTGCCTGGAGAGTAAAAAGAACAGAATGAACAGTTAGGCAGTAAGTTCTTTAAAATCAGTACATAACATAATACAATACGCTGAAAACGGAATCCATGGAGAATCTTCAGAAATTAACGCTCAATTTCCGTTCCATAAGTATCACTACCAAAAAATTACCAGTGGATTGAATTCGATAAACAGATTCGAAAACGGTTTCCAGTCATTATTCACTTCAAAGGGTAACTGTTGCTCGTTTACACCGAGCAGCGCCCGACCAGTATGAAACTGGACCACGCGCGTTTGGTTATCTCCATTCGATGCATAGAAAGGTCAATCTCGAACCGCGATTTGAACAAAAGGATAAGAGCAGACGCGGTATGATGTTTATTAGGGTGTCCGGATTCAATCTGGGTATTCCTGTATCGATTATTACACCACACTATGAGAAGTCAAATGTTTAGGTTGAGTTCGTCAACACTGGTTCCTAGAAAAAACAGCATCAATTTGAACTTCTAGAGTAAACAATGCACTAAGATTCAAGATTTAAGCAATTATTTTTATTGATTCCATGTAGAGAATAAGTGAAATCTATTGAACTGTTGTGTGGGTGGTCTGTACAACGCACATTTGGTTTCACGCTTTTGCACAACCAAATGCAGACTGTAGGTAACCGTGTTAGTGCATGATTATCGGCGGTCATATACCACCAAATCAGGGATTCCCTAAACTAATTCCACCAACCGAACCCAGGGACAGCGAATTGCAGGCATATAGATAAACGTTGTGTAGGCATTCAGCGAGCATGATCAAGTCATCTATATCACTAGAGGGGTATGCTATCGGTGACTGTTTGACCTGTCAAACATCTTCAACCAAACAACGGGACGCTCCGAATACAGTGATCGACGATGGACGAGGGGAGAGCACCGGAGGAGGATTCACAGCCGCTAACTAGCACTATGCAAAGTGAAGTGTGGCGCACGTACGTTTTGAATGATTGGAATATCAAGATAGCATTACAGGTTGGCGTGGTCTAACCGAACATTTACAATTCGGATCGTGATCTCGTGTTCAATAGCATTATTTATATTATATATTGTATATATCTAACATTTACTCCTTCATTTACCTCAGACGTGAAAAAGAATTGCAAACAGATGAACATAAGGCATTCATTGCGTCTTCAATGAGTGCCCGGTAATGACCTTGAGACCAGCACCTTGAAAATAACTACGCTAACTTTGATTTTCAGGACGAACATAACAGAGGAGAGCATGAAGCCTTTGTATTGGAAATTGTCGGGTTAAAAAAAGCAAGGGAACAACTCACTGAGGGTTGTCTCTTCAACAACGAGGGAGAGGCAGAACCAGACTGTGATTGGATAGATTGTTGAGGAGCTTGTTGCTGATGCATTGGTTGATGGGTCTGCTGTTGTATTAGAGGGGTTGGTGGTTTTCTGACCATTTGCTGTTGTTGCTGATGCTGCTGCTGTAATTGCTGTTGATGCAATTGCTGTTGTTGTAACTGCTGTTGCTGTAATTGTTGTTGTTGCAATTGCTGCTGTTGTTGCAATTGTTGTTGGTGCTGCTGTTGTAACTGCTGCTGGTTTAGGGCGGCATAAATAAGGGAACCCGCATTGGATGATTGGGAAATGGGGGTACTGCTCGGTGAAGCACTTAATGACATTGGTGGGGTTCGTTGAGTTGGAGTAAGTGTCTGCGAAGGT